GCTTGACAACTCACTGACAGTGCTGGATTTATGCACCAATTTACCAGCTCGCGCGTGCAATGCGCAGCTACTTACCCCCCAATCATCGGTGAACGAAACTGTGGCAGCTACAACCAGTACGCGGTTATTACAGCTGATAATAATGATGATGATGATGATGATGATGATGAAAGAAGTGATATCTTGTGACTGTCCTTTTTGGGTTCCAACCATATTCGCTGTAAGCGTAGGCGAAGTATCAGTCAAGTCTAGGAAAGCTTTATGCAACGCAGCACATAAGGTTCCAGCAGCATCAATCGCACCTCAGACAGAGTCGAGTGTAGTTTTCAAGCTACAAACTTTGGTCGCACCGATTTATCATCAGCGAAATATGGAGCCAGATAAATGGGACATTTAAGGTAGGCCTTAGTACGGGCTGGCAATTATTGTGGTGAAATAGTGTGGAGGGGAAACGTCGTTAACAGTGAGAAACCGACCCTTTATTTAGGTACGTTGAGGGACGGATACCCAGTGTGACTATGCTTTGAAGTCTACAGCTGGTGATTTGGATTACATCGCAAGGGGGAATTAGGACTGGGTTCAAGAGGACCGGGAAAATAGGACCCACTGATCATTCTAGTGTTATTAGGCGGAGGAGTGTATTGTTGGAAATCTAGGCTAATCTTTGGGAAACTGAATGGTTAGTATTCTGCGCTGGAATCCGAGTTTTTTCTCGGAAGCACACCGTTCATGAGGTTGCTGAAAACCCGTCGACAGCCCACGATCGGTTCCTTTGAGCTGGTCTTGTCAGAAAGCGTAGGTTCTGTGTATACAGTAGCACTTAAGGCGGGGAGGTAGCTTAGTAGTTAGAGCACGAACTTCCTGACCGTAAAGTCCCTGGTTCAAACACGACTTCCCCTATCTAGGCTTGGACAACCTCGTGCTCCCTTCGGGTGGCATGGCAGCTAGGCACCGAAAGGGTGTTACAGCTGAACGATTGATTGATTGTAGAACTTAAGAGACGTCCAGTTTCTGTAGATCGGGTGATCCATCTGTCGCATTTTATGCCAGCGTTATGCAAAGACAGTTGAGTCTGCTTTCACTAGGTTGTTTGAACTCATTTGGGAATGGAGCTTGGATAGTCAGTCAATGTATTTTCATTTAAAAGTATCTGAAGCGACTGCTCCAGTCCAAGTGATATCAGCCCTGTCTCAGCTGTGACATACCCGTTGGCTTCATAGATATTGTCGCATTTGACCTTACCATCCATAGAGTAATATCAGCGTTCAGTATTGATGCCATGCTGCCATAATTTAAGGCCTGATTGTGGAGAAAGTAAAGTGGCGGGGAACGGATCTACCACAATTGTTCTTAGGCGCCTAAATCCCCAGTCGTTCTGACAATTTGGATGAAGACCTTGTTAACGTCAACGTCGATTCGCGGCGTCACCAACCATGCATAAGGACACCCAACCGCGCACTGATGATGTCTCCTCGTGTCATAGTGAAACGTTTGCGAGTCAGTTGCGAAGCTCGGCGAAAAGATCAACAACCAGTAAATATGCACTTTCTGTGGTTTTGGGCGTTCGGACTAGTCGTCCTGGGTCTGTAAATATACGTGTGCAGTATACACAGCCCAGGGCCGAGTGTAGCGAGGACGGAGAAGATTAATATTACACATGCGAGGTCGAATAGTTGTCTTTTGCAGCGTTACTCTTTCACTCATGTTCAATTTCGAAACGTGCCTTGGCAATGCCAACACACCTGTTGTCCACACAGGTAATGGGAGGTAGTTAGCAGGGGACAAAAACAAAATACAGCAAGGGTCACTGGGGGCGAGTTCCAAGTGATTCGAAAGTCAGATGTTTGATATGAAAGCCAGTGTCCAACCGCTCGATTTTCTCGGAATCTTTGGAACTCCTGAATTTCCATTTTGAACGGAGTTTCCTCAGTTGAGAACCACAAGTATAGCTACAATCCGACTAAATCTGGCGTTTGGGTCCGATTTCCATATACACGGACACGTGCAACACCATAGCTTCATTTTGTAAACCAGCCTGGAACTATCTGCCGAGATAATATCCCTTTCGGAAATGCGTGAGAAATGCATGGTTCTAGTGTAATTGAGGTACCAACTGACGTACGGTTTCTTGGAGCGCATTCAAGACGATCGGCGTCCTATGTATATGTGTATGTCCTACACTGGAACCAATGTGCCTATGGTACACGGTTTATAGCTGACAGATTGAAGTGGATTATGTATGGGGTTTTTAAAATAAGGAACCATTGAAGGGCATGGGTTTAACTTAATTTCGGTGATAACGATTAGGAGTTTTCTTGCTAAGAACTGTTCTGTTTTTGCTTCAGAGCCCAATTTTCAGGCGGGTTTCTCCGTTGCTGTCTATATGAATGTGTATTTCGGTAGAAAAGGACCATTTCCATGAGCATCAAGCTGAGACTGTTTTCTCTAATACTATTGGATACCCCAATTAGCCGACTCTTTCTGTCGTCTTTATGGCCTCTGTTGTCGAGAGGTCGTACTTGGTAGCCCTTCCTGCAAATCGATGCAGTCTGAATATATCCAACTACGTAACACTTCAGCGCAATAAGGTGTTCGGTTTATTCAAACATTGGGGTTTCCCATGAGAATTCAGGCTTGGAAAATTGATTAAATATCTTAACCCCATACTGACCAATGTGGCTATAAAGTCTGTGCCACTTGATCTTCAACTATCTTTTCAGCTTAGCCAGTGTGGTGTCATTTAAGTCAGTTTTTCAACGATGTGACTAAGTGGACTGACAAACGAGTGCAAATATCGAATGGGGTTATCTTTACCAAACTGAATGCACTTATTCAGGTTCCGGGGAGGAAGGGGGGTACGCGCTCATCAAGATGTAGGGAGCGATATATCCTATTTAGGGACGAATTCCATTAGTAACATGAGGATTGGATTGTGCCCCTCTTGTTTCGTTTCACAGGGTGGTCTCAGTTAGGTCTGTGCTCCTTGGCAAAATTTACCGTCACCTCACGAGTATTCCATGATACCACATACGTTATCGTACTCGAGTACGTATTTTGCTTTCCAAGCTATATCAGACCCTGGTTACCCATGGTTGGACGACATCTTTCCTGTGCTCTCCATATTATTTTAATTAAGACATTCTCGCAAGTTTTGAAGTACCCAGCTGCAAATCTCCAGCTCTCGTACCTCATTTCTGAGTGGAATAACCTTACCAACGTTTTTGGTGACCGAAGTTTCGCGTATAGTCGCACGGCCAGGTAATTTTCCGGGAAAATCAACTCGTTTACATTCGAAGACGACGCAAATAACCTTCATCGTATCGCGAATCTCGGTGCAGGCCATATGATATCCCATGTATATATATCAGCTGAGGCGATGATTTGTGAACGGAATCAAAGTGCCAAAAAACTCTATCGTTTTTTGTGGCTCTCGATTTCTGATAGGGCCCACTAATACGCACAGGGTGACGGGCATCTGAGTTCGCGCAAATCTGCATCGTGGGCGCCTTGCCTGATGGTTACTCGGGCATGACGAGCGCTGTCAGTATGGCGACAGGGTTGTACTCCAGATGGTATCCAGAGCGCATTCTAAAGCCTTGCCGGTGCGTTCCGTGACAGGATGTCAGCTGACAAAGTGTTATTGCCGAGTCCTGTCATATTCTTTAATAGGATTTTTAAAGAGAGGAAACGTGTCCATGAATGGTTCACCAAAGTACTGCACTTGTGTAATAGTTTTATGAAGCTACGCATTTGAACAGAGAGATAAGCAAGTAGCCGAGGCAACAACATCAGAGGGGGGATAAGAATTGCGGCCAGCATGATACAAAACTTGGTCTTGAGGTAAGCGAAATAAAGAAGGTAATCCACCGCACAACGGAAACAAAATAATGACCAGGAAAGTGATTAGGTCCTGCCTGTGAACGAAACCAACAAAGGATGAGCAGAAATGGCGCGGTAGTCGGTATCCGTGCTTGAGTTTGCGGACGAAAATGCGGTTATATCGGGTCGATTCCAGTCGACGCGAGTCAAAAAATCAGGCGGTTTGTGTGCAAGGTTGGCAAAGAAGGACATATGGCAAGCACCAGAGAATAAGAAATCAAGTATTAGAACAGATAAAAACAGAATCACACAGATGGTTAGTAGAGTAAGAAAAATCAATAAATAAGTTAACCAAGATCCCAGGGTCCGGGTTGGATATAAATACTGTTCATCGAAAAAGAAACACATACGCATGGTTGAGAATCGTGGGATAAAGGACAATTTAATTGACCAGCAACAAGAGATAAACCACAGGTTCCCACGAAAAGTAACACTGTTGAGGAGGTCCAGAGTAAAGTAGGGGTACAGTTGTGGGGAAGCCTTCGTGGTGTCCAGCAAATAGCAAATGCACTGATGCTCAGAGCGCAAAGAGCTACACAAGACCAGCTTGCAGACACAAATGGGTACAGGGAAGCATATGCTGTAGTGAGAGATCATATGAGATCGAATTCGATTCCAGGTGGGTCTACGCCTGATTGGTCTCGTCATTCTGCTGCTGAGTCGAAATCTAGAAAGTAAGACCACAGGAGAATGAAATGCTCAGTAAATGAACTACAGAAGAGCGATAAGGGGGAGTCGTACCGAGAACGTACAGAAAGTTGTTTGGAGAACGAATGGTACTGTGCATAAAACGAATGACCAGGGCATACAAGCAGTCTATTCAGCCTCACTGGACGGTGGCACCGGATATGCAAGGACACCAGGGGGTAAATAACCGATGGCGCATGCATACCTTCCAAATGACGAACCGCAAGGAAACCGAAAGACGAAAGAATGTTGCCGGGAGGTAAAGTACCGATGGAGAGAGGCTTTCACAAGAAACGCAAGTGAAACGCCTGAATATAAGTGATTCGACCATCTGGCTGGGAGGGGCTTGACCTCAGTAAAAGGGACGAGTCAACAATTTTTTTGGAGAGGGGGCTTCAGCAGGTTAATTTGTTTAGTTTTTGATCACCGATGCTATGGAAGAAAAGAACGAAATTGGGCGTGAACACATGTTTCGAAGCGCTACCAGAAATCACGTTTCGCAAACCGAGCCCCCATATAACCAAAATAGACCGAGTTCGCGTAGGTCCCCTTTGAAGCTACTCATGCGGGCATCATGATGGCATCACCTAATAACTGTAAGGTTCACGCTAATTCATGTAGCTACCCTGCAAAATCTGACTGACTGACGGGAGAATTAGACATTTGACTCGTTGATTACCAGGTATCGTAAGGTGATCAGCCGATCGAAACTCCGCCCAACTAACTCCTAAGGTCACTTACCACCAACCCTCAAACGTGCAGAAGTTCATAGTGAGCCCTAACCATAATCTAAAATTTCATATGGTGTCAAAAATAGATGCATTTTTAAAGTGTGCTACTGAAAACTTGCTCACTCAAGGCTATCATCAGGTTGGGGGGAAGAGTGTTGAGCCGTTCGCCCCTACATTTTCGGTGCATTGATGACAAACTAAAATCCGTTGCTCTTGAAATGAGAACCATTTTAATCAAACATATAACCCAACCACACGGACTTGAGTGCATTTCGAACCCTCAGCAACAGGCGTACATAACTGTGCCGATAATGGAAGACTGATGACGACATAAGTGATTTCCAAAATCAGGGTGTTTTAACCCAAGCCTTCAACACCAACCTGGCCGATGTGACAACAATATATTTGTCATGGAACGAGTATATACAGCAGTGCTTTCCATATTGAGAAATGGTTCAGAAACATAATCACTGGGAATGTAAAATCCACCATGGCCCTGAGGATTTGGCCACACGGAACAGCACTCGGACATAGCAAACGTCGGGTTGTTAGACTGATTGGGAAGCGGGCTTTGCAATCCACGTCGTTTCTGTCCAGTTCATGCACAAGGGGAATGCTAGTTGACTATCTGGCAGCGGCGACCGTATATTCGGACGCCACTGTGTTGTTGGCCATTAGAGACACTGACAGACGAAGTCCGGGAATACAGTAGTTGGAACCCAAACATTAGACAGCCTCCATTGTTCCCGTTCCAATGTAAAAGTAAGCTCAGACCAAACTGGAAACACCCTCACCAGTGGACTCTTGACAAATGTGTTAGGACAGTCTTCCGAATATCCCGCTTCATTCTGCCTGTAATTCATACATGAAGCCAGTGAAGCACGCAGTGGATAGTCATACGGCTGGAAAAAAGCTACCGGTCCGCATAGTCGGTGAAATATCTCTGTTACTTCCATGTCGAGAGGTCTATCAATTTAGTGCGAACGTTAAAAAAGTGCCCAGGGTCCGGAAGAAAAAAGATTACAGGTAACTAAAATTTGATACAAAAATATTACATAACCAGCTGAAGCCTAGCTGGTAGGTGGTGCTGTTTTTGCGTCGGTTAATTGAAGAAGAATAAAAGTATATAAAATATGAAGAGCAGCTAATGGCGTAGAAAGGCCGTCTTCTCACTACTCTTACAATCGAGAACAAAATAGTTCCTTTTTTAACATGAACTTCAAAACTTACAAACTGGTACATTTTTAGGGCGTTTTGACAAAATTGCCAACAGTTATGAGATGCCGCCAGCGCTTTACGAGAACTACTGCAACCTACTACATGTTATGAAACCGAGGTTCTTTGACAAAACTTTCAGTAAGTGAGTCTCGAAACCATGGAATCCGAAGTGGATGATGGGAGCTACTGCGTTTTCAACAAGAACGGTAGTCGTTTCCGACAGCGGTAATGGGTCTAAGCCATTTAGTCTACTGTTCCGTGTCTAGTGCTGACGCACCTAGTGCACCATAGTTCTCGGTGAAAACTAGGCAGCTTTCTCCGCGAAATCCCACAAGCTGGGCAGGAGAAAGCATTTACGGAAGTCAACTGTCTCATAACAACAGGAACAAAAACGCTTCCCATCAAAATTACTTATACAGGTGTGGATGCTGGTTGATAATGCGGCTCGAGGTGCGGCCACTTTTTACACGATTTGAACTACGAATCTGAGGTGAGCACCGAACGCCTGCATCGCGTTCCCGCTTGGTTCGGTCGATCCTCTTTCCTGTCAATGACAAACCAGTTTTCCTAATTGCATAGTTGACCCGGTCGAACCCACCGGTTGACATCAGAAACTTAATCAACAGATGTTACGTGGTAAACCTGCGACAGACCGTGAAAGAAATTGTCCACTCTATGTTCTATTGTACAGGAGGGCTCTCCAGATATTCTATCGCTCAGTAAATACTGCTTTGACTTACCGCCGATAGCTAGCTCGGTCACGTTTCGGGTTAGTAACTCCAGATCATGTTCGATACATTCCATACGGTCATCCACTCCTGGGTGTTTGCTCGGCCCATCTGTTCGGCTCCTACTTTCCGCCGTATAGGCATCGAGGTACACTTGGTTTGGCACAGAAGTCCAATGCGTATCGGTGTTCTTTGGCTGATCAGGTCTGAGTGACGGCTGGCCGCACAAACAGTTTAACCGACCAGGATAGTTGTGAAATCCTGAAGAGAATGTATCCGGTTGGAAAGACCTTTGATCTTCCACCTGAATGATCTGTTTATCTGGTAGCTGTGCATAGTTCGGTTGATATCCTTGTGACGGAGCTGCATTGTCCGTGGCAGGTAGATCAAGCATTGGCGGGATAACTGCCAACGAAGGCTTCAAACCATAGGTAGATTTCGAATTCGACGCAGTAGTGTGACGCACAGATTCTGGATGAGAGAGACGCAAGGGTGCAGCATTTCGATGCACCGAGGAAGCCGCGGTTTTCGGATGCGGTGCATTGGCACATGGCTGAAAAAGGATGAGCGTTTACGGAACTAAAAAATACAATGGATGGTTTGGTTGGACGCTTAACATATCAATAAAAGTCGTAATGACTGGCATTAACCGTTCGTTAGATAATGGTATAAGTATGCAACCTGCTTGCAAAAGATATCCACAGTACCGTTTTCTCCCATTAGCAACCAGACAGACAGGTAGACAAGCGTGATAATTAACTGCACAGTTAGACAGGGATGTCTACACGAGTAAATATCCCATCGACACTTCGAATTGGAAGTGCAGACTACTACGAAACTTTTCTGTAAGGTTGTGCAATCGGGCAGCCAGAATTCAGTAGTCCGTGGGTGCTTTAAATGGCTTTTGTTCACACCTAATTTAGCGGTTCCATTGTCCTTGGTCCGTTTCTGAAATTGGTTGGACATGTTCACCATGAACCCACCCAAGGTATGCCAATTTAGGAGCCAACGGATATCTCGGCAGAGTATAACGTGATGGTTAGCAGGTAAATCTGGAGGAACAACAAAAGTACCGCTGATGGGTGAAACTAAACAGCCACTTGAGAACCAAACTGCTCCTGATTTCGTCCTGATGGTGAAGCCAGCCCATGCTGAAAAGCTGAGGAGCACTGCAATTACGCTTCATCCTTATTGGGAATCAGTATGCATCTTACGAAACTCAGAGTCCCAAAGCCACGACCTTCCAGTCGACAGCAAGTTAACCTTCTGACCACAAGCGTCCCATTAAAACTGTGATTAACTCTCATTTAGACGGACAGAATACAGCTCATCCTTGAATCCCAGAAACTAAATCACCTGCTCACGTATTGATAGGGTTCTTGGGTGACAACTTCTTAGATGGGGGTTCTACACATTTGATTAAATTACTGTTCCTCCGCACCACTCGTGGGTCGACGGTAGCGTGTTAGGGGATTTGGTAATTTTTGAGGTTTCGTCCTGCCAGTGATATTTGGTAACTTTCTCCTGACGGCTTATGTAGGCATAACTAAGGTGAGCAGTTTGTTTATAACTGATCTGATCATATCGACAGCCCTCAAATCTCGGTTTTGTGGATGTCAGGAAATAATGGTCAACGGTGCTGATGATGCCTTAAGCGACATTAGACATTAAAGACAGGTTCATTCATATTACTTTGTCGAAGTGATTAGTTCAAAACAATGGATGAACAGGCTACCATCAACCACCTACCCCGAGATGAGTTTGTATTGCGACACGCGGAGTGCATGAGATCAAGGCTGTCAAGAGGAGTGAAGCCTATGAGTAGAAAAACAAAAACGATTTTGGTTTCGATTTGCATGTTTGAGTCAGTCGGGGGGAAAGCGCACGAGGTTTGCCGTTTTAAATTCGAGCTCCCGTGATTACGAATTTCGACCCAGATACAAACGCGAACCATCATTTATTCACCACATTCCGAGATGGAATGCGGAGAAGGACTTCGTTCTGATGGCTTGGGAGTACTTTTGCTAGTACATATATCGATCGCCTTGGACCTCGCTCATCAGTTAGTAATGCCAATTTTTTCCTTCTCCATCTAATTAAAAAACAGTAGCCAAACCAGCTGGGAAACAATCGTAATTGTGTGGGGCGAGGTCAGACTAGGTTTGTAGGAGCGTGGGCTGGAGTTATAAACTGATTATCACCTGGTCTAATCAATGTGACGTTCGGCAGTTTGCGTAACCGTGTTTTCGTCCCACCAACGACATATGAACACTTGGATGCGTTTACCTGTGCAACGGCTACATTCCCAAAAGCTTCGCGACACGAGCTTTTACTTTTATTATTAGGGCTCGCAAGTGGATACACATGAAACCATTCACCAGTCGCTAGTTAGACATCCCAGCGAATGAGACAGGTTCATTCATTGAGGGCTGGTGCATCAGGACAAGCAAGCAAACGGTTGCTCTGACGATGCGCTCATTAAGTTTGGAGAGGGACTGACTATGAATCTTTCTTTACATACAGGTTATAGGCCGAAAGATCACTAGTCTCGGTTTCTATACTCATAAAATAGGCTTACTTCGGCGGGTGTGGTTGCCTGGGAGGAACGACCAGTCAAAGATGAAGATGGAAACCCAAGCGCCACGAGACTAGGCTGAATGTGGGTGTGTGAGCATGTTCATTACCGGCTAAGATGAGAAATGACCACCAGTGGACTATGTTCGTCCACTTCTAGTGATAATCTAGAGTAGAGGTCAAGAGACTGAAGACAGTCATCCACAAAAGACAGTATGAAGAGCAAGTTGAGAACGGGAAGAAAAGAACGGTCTAGATGAATTTGGAAGCCACAAAATTTTGCGGTTGTGGAGAGGAAAAGTAAACAAGAAAGGTTGATGGACTAAAGACAGCAAAGTGGAGGATGAAAAATCAATGACTGGATTTTGATGTCCACTCGATGGTTTTCCGATTAGGTCATTGTCCGTACAACGAATTATTTCAGTAGTAATCTCATTAGAAACGAAGAGCAGCTTTCAAACTCTTCATGTGTGTAGGTTGACTACATTCCACACCCAACTTGAATGTGCTATTATTACCAAGCAAAGACTTGTCAAGAATGCATACTATTTGTATATTAGTGATCGTTCGAGCGTACCCTGAATAATTCTTCTAAAGACAACCTAGCACATTCTCATACCTGTGTTTGCGTAAGCATAAATTTCACATTCATATTGCCAGGCTACGGGGATATTAAAAGGAGACAGGCACAGAAAAAAAGACACGGGACCAGCAGATTGAGATCAGAGATACGCCTGGTGTATGTCCCCAGGACTTGACAATTAGACGTAAAAATAATTGAGCACGAAAGACCACAACGAAACTGTTATGGTGGGTACGAGATTAAGAATAGTTAATCGAGCACTAGTTCAAACACTCACGTGCTGGCCAAACTCGGTTAGGGTTGACGGTTGAGCAGATACGTTCGAAAGTGACTGTGGCGAAAACCCGGGCCGAGACAAATCATCTAGTGTGAGCCTACTCGTACTGAACGAACTCGGGTACACCGGTCGGCCGCTTGATAAAGGCGAATCAAGCGGGAAGAATGCCTGTCTCTGCACATCCGATGGTGAAGGCATTCTTGTGGGCGGGGCAGTTGCGGGTGGAACAAGAGCGCGTCGAAGGCCATGGGATAGGCAATGCTCGAAACTCGAAGGGCCAGGGAATCGTGCTCCCGGAAACTGTGTAGACAGGCGTGACACATCTACGTCGGATGAAGCCTGTGTCGCGCCTGAACAGGTATTTGCTGCAGAAAGATTGACATTAGCGTTTGATTTTCGACTGGGCATGAAACCTGGATTCGGACTTGGCATTCGTCTCCCAGGACAAGATTTCAGTGGAATGGGAATTGTTTGAAGTTGGTTGATCGGGACGCTATGCCTCCGACAAGAACCATCGTCTCCACCCATAATGTAGCTTGAGACACGTTCTGAGGACACCGAATGCATTGGCTGTACTGGCACTTCCAACTTCTCATGGGTATCAATTGTCTCTGGAAAGAACGCCTGGGTAGCAGCGCCGAATCTCTCACCGGACGACTGTGGTGCTAACGGCATTGGACAGAAAATCTCTCCAGAGTGGACTGAAGGTTTCCGCACTGCGTGTTGGTGTCTTGAGCCCATGTAAGCTGGATTCTTACGGCCCAGTTTGATTCCGTGATGAATTCTGGGAACCGAATGGGACGGTCGAGATGGGTCCGTGCTCATATGGATCGCCAGTGAGTTTTCCAGCGAGAAAATCTGCTGTTTCCACGAGGCCGTCAGGCTTCTGTGTTTGTCCAAAAATGCCTTTAAGAGAAATTTCGGGTTTCAACATCACATGAACTAAGATGAGTAGAAAATAATCAGCAGCTCACGCTAGAATTCGTTGCGTTAATGGTGAGCCCCAGTGTACAAATGAAGTGTGTATGGCTACTCCAAAACACAAGACTTCTGTCCTCGATAGTGCACAGCAACATTCCTCACCAGCCACGATTTAGTGTGGATCCTCATAAGACATAATATCTGTGGAAAACAACATACATTTCCCTGGTAGTGGTTCCTATTCGGGGGACATTAATATATCTCGCCTGACCGCTTTCCGACTGAACATGGAGAGCTTCTGGAACAAAAGTCCCTAACTCTGAGGTGGGACGCAACAAGATGAAGACTGAGGAATAGTAGAAACCTGACTAGGGCATCGCACTTTCTATTAGCTACTTACTAGGTAATTAATCCACACTTCCTAGCTCCCATGGTGTCGAAAAATACTGTCGAGTTTGAGGAGGGCAGGTAACAGGGGTGCAGACAGAACGCAGTGCAACTGATCAAGATTAGGTGACGAATTCACGAACCACAAGATTTGTTATCGTCTTAGGGGTATTGCCGTTTGGAGCGTACCGTGTGATGCTACATATTCAAGAAAAAACCCAAGTTTGTCGATGCAATAGAAACGCAGATGTTTTTGCGGTTCTTTAATAGAGTAATTTAAAAAAGCTTCCAAAGTCAGCTTCAAAACGTCAGTAGATAATGTCAGATAGGAAAATACACGTCGGACACAAATTGAACTCACGGGATGCTTGCCGATGATATCCAACAGCTGAACGAATCGCACAAAACAATCTGAATCTGGCTGAGAACTGACCAACAGACGAGAACAGACTGAAAAAAAGAAGTGCAATAGGCATCGAAACTCTTGGCTATTTGAAAGTTTTATCCAAATCATAGTGTCCAATAGATACCAAAGCGATTGAACAAAAACTTTAAGTTGCAATGTACCGCCCCTCCAAATTTTAAAATGTTCATCTTAGGAATATTAGTGATCCACTTGTCAGCCGTAGCACCCTTTCAGTGCCTGACTGCCATGCCACCCGAAGGAAGCACGAGGGTTTGAATATTGTCAGGTTACCCCAGCCTAGACAGGGGGAGTCGACAGGCAGGGGTTCGGTTAGAACCACGGACCTTCTGGTCAGTAAATTCGCGCTCTAACCACTGAGCCATGTCGCCCGGCAACAGATAAGCCAAAGGTTACTAGTGAAACATCAACTGGATAGGAACAACAAACCAGAATCACGGAAAGAAATCTGTTCCTCTAGGCTCCGGTTGTCTTCTTTGAATGATCCCACTTCTTGTGTCGCAGCCTTAAACCAGTCGATCCACTTCCTTGGTGCTCTTCATCCTCTCCAGGGCTTCGAAATTTCCCTTTTCGAACTCTGAGCCTTCCGCATAATAGCACACTGCTAGGTTTCAAGTGAGTACAAAGTAACCGAAATCAGATCGGACACACGTTTAGTTTGGAAACTGATGGATTCACGCCCAATCATTGGAGAATACGGTCACATGCTGTTTTCTTTGGTTTGAATCTGTACTTACAACACCATGTAATGTTATCCGGCATTTTACGACCGTTGTGTTAAAACTATGAGAACCCACTGATGAGCGGACGGTGCAGACACACATGTAGTTTCTGCTAGAATATTGGGAGTGAAAGTTGCATTTCTGAGTCATTGTAGTCCGAATCGTCCTTAGAGAAAAGGTCCAAGATCGGAAAGCGTTTCAGTCCTGGCCTACAGCTGCCACCTGAAAGACGGTGCTTTCAGGAGAGTAGATCCGGAAATGATGTGACTATATAATTTGATCTCTTCTCCTTCATGGTTTGTTGTGAGCTCCCCTGCAGATTCTTAACATTGAACAACTATTTCGTCGTCCACACGCACCGCCTCAACATACGAATTAGATGATAAAATAATGACCAGCCGAACTCTGGAAGCAGAGGTCGATGTTGAATGGAATCCATTCTCACAAGCCTTCAATAAAACAAGAAGATGGCACCGCACTGTTCAACTTAAAAACGTTGGACATTCGTGAAGAAGATACAGTAGGGCGTAAGTTTCTCGGATCGAATCACGCTTAATTCCACGTCAACAGCACTGCCAGCATCGTGCGAATCTCGGGTAATCGAGCGTTGAACTACAAAACAAACAAAAAAACGACAATCAGGATTAACTTGCCTTTTGTTAAACAGTTCATAATTTGAGAGGGGAGACACACAGAAGTACCTCGGGTTGTGTGATCACCGCTCAGGTCACCAGCACTTTTAGAAGCTGTTATCCTGATGTCGAAATCAGGTGACTGTGAGTTCTGCGCAAGACCAGACGGACGACTCTCTTCATTGGAAGCTGGACAAACGCCGTCTTTGATCTCATTATTCTTGTGACTCGAATGGTCAACCACGCAGTTTAGCTTGCCAGTCTGATGTTCCTCGGGGGAGGCCAGGGTAGCAGAGCAAGGTTTGAGTGGGGTTTGAAGCACATTCCATACTTCGGTTAGACAGTTCTGCAGGGCAGCTGTGGCACTAGGTCCTGTAGAGGGGGCTTGGACCAATGAGTTTTCGGCTTGTGATAAGTTGGAGCTTCTCATTGCTAGCTTTCGAATATTTAGGAGTAGCTTTGTTCGAGCACCTTGGGTAACATTCTGAAGAATGAGAAAATGCCCAACGAAAGTTATTTAGAAGTGGGAACCACATAACTGTGACGTATCCTTATGCGTCTGCCACCGGAACACTATATATATATATAT